CCAGACTGCAAATGGCTATCAGCACCACCGAGCCATCTCACCCTTCTCCTCTAGGCTTTCCTTACCACCTCCCTCCCCTCCCTGCTTCCTTCTTCCTGCTCCCCGGGCTCCAGCCCAGCTCTGGGGATGACCATGCCACATACTTGGCTTGGAAAATAGACACCAACAGATAGGAACACACTCTCTACTTGCCATTGCCAAATATGCACAGCATCCTACACCTTCAACCGTAGGCCTTTTCCCTTGGTCTCTGGAGTAGGAATGTCTACTGTTTTCAAAGGCTGAGCTCTGGATCCCACTCCGTGTTGTCTATCCCAGGAGTTCCCAACCTGTTGTCTGCTGTCTGTTTTGTCTGTCTCTCTCCACCCACTATGTCTCCTTTCCTTCCTTCATCTGTAAGCTTTCACTCTCTCCCACATCTGCCTCATCTGTCCTAGACTAGACCATCTCTGCTCCCGCTAATCTTACATACTTGATAAATACACAGAAAAGTTTTAAAACAGCCACTATACCCTTTGCTCACACCTTTCGCCTCCAGTTCCTACCTTTTCCTGCACATCTATCTATCCAAGCTTTTTTGTTTTTCTTCCCCTCATCTCTCATTCCCTCATCTTTCTGCTCCGTTCTCATTCTGACCCACCACTCTATGATTCGGGAATGTTTAGCCCATCCATCTGGGACACTTTGATTCCCCAAGGGACATCTGACAATATCTGAACGTGTGTGTGCGTGCGTGCGCGCGCACGCGTGTGAGATGGAGGCAGGCTTTCACAGCCCGAGCCAGCCTCAAACTGGCTCAGAGGTCCTCCTCTCTCAGCCTCCACAGTGCTGGTATTACAAGTAGTCATGATTACACCCCACTGATGGACACAGTGATGCTTGTCACAAACGAGGGAAGGAAGCTCCTGACATCTAGTGGGCAGAGCCAGGGACACTGCTGAGCATCCTACAGTACAGAATGGCCTGGGTACACTGGTCAGTATGGTGTCATCGTTGAGGAACCCTGATGTAGACTCTCTTGCTAAGCTTAATGGGAGCTTCCTGGATGCCAAGTGTAAGGACTAACTTTCTGAGTTCATCAAATGTGTCCCTTCTCTCCCTGCCTTTGCCCTTCCTCTGGTTTCTTCCCTCGCTGTCTCTTTTATTCCTATACTATAGTCCTTTACACATTTCTCCTCTCTCTGACTCAGTCCTAGGCTGGCTATCTTCTTTGAATTCTTCTGCTTCCTAGTGGCTCCTTCCCATGAGTTCTTATCACTTTTATGCTGGATGGGGAGCCAGCCTGTCTGGCTTGAGTCCCAGCTCAGCCTCCCAGCTGTGTGATCATAGTAACAATTTCTTCGTGTTACTTGCCAGTCTCAGTTTCTTCTTCAGTAGACTAAGGATATGATGGCACTCACTGCAAACACCTGCAATAACTGAATGACACTCCAATATATATATATATATATATATATATATATATATATATATATATATATCACCTTCTTCAGTAGACTAAGGATATGATGGCACTCACTGCAAACACCTGCAATAACTGAATGACACTCCAAAATATATATATCACATAGTGCATAGCTTACTTCATGTTCTGTTATTTTTACAACACCAAGCTAGATATCGTCCTACTTTTTACCGGAAAAGTGAAAGAAACCACAAATCTCTCACAAATGCAAAAGAGTATTGAGCTGAAGACAAGATGTGAGGGCCTTCTGTTTGTCCACAGCAGGACAGAGGCTTGTAAAGATGACATCTTCTCCCCTTCTTCCCACTCAAAGGCAGGCTGTAACTCCTTTACCCACCCAGAGACAGCACCAGAGGAAGATGGGAGCTGACCCTGCTGGGTAGGTATCATCCCTGCCCTCACCTTCCCTCGTGTTCCTTAGTTCCTCTCTCTGTATGCCTGGGGGTGCTTGTCTTTGTCTTGCTACTTTTTAAGACCTCTCTTTCTTTCTCTCTCTCTTTCTCTCTCTCTCTCTCTCTCTCTCTCTCTCTGTGGTGTGTATGTGGTATGTGGGGGTGTGTGTGGTGTGTATGTGGTATGTGGGGTGTGTGGTGTGTGTGTGGGGTGTATGTGGTATGTGGGGTGTGTGTGTGTGTGTATGTGTGTGTGTGTACATAGAGGCCAGTGGTCAACATTTGGATAGTTTCTCTGATCCCTCTCAACCTTAGTTTTGAGGCAAGGTCTCCTAGAACCTGAAGTTCACTGACTGCCTAGTCTGGCTGAAGAGAAATTCTCCTGTTTCTGCTTCTCTACACTGTGTTAACAACTGCACATCTCTGCCCCAGGTTGCTGATCTTTTTTAAAAATGCAATTTCTGGGCATCTGAACTCAATCTTCACACTTATGCAGCAGAAACTTCAACCACCGAACCATGTCTCCATCCCCTGAATTTGCATTTTCTTTGGCTACATAAACTAAAGAAAATTTTGGTTCAGCCCAGATCGACAGTTGCAAGTTGTAACTGTGAAAACTCCCAAGCAGTCAATGTGTGAATTGTATTGTATAAGAGTTATATTTCAACAGAACTATTGGGAAGAGAGAAAAAAAAAAAAAAAAAAAAAACCAAGGGGCTGGGGAGATAGTTTGGTTAGTAAAGCACTCATTATGCAAGGATAGCCTGAGTTTGGATCTCCAGCACCCACATAAAAAGCTGGGTGGGCATGTGTCTGCAATCCCAGCACTGGACAGGCAGAGGCAGACTGACCCCTGAGTTAGCTGCACAGCCATTCTTGCCTAACTGGTGAGCGCTAAACCAGCGAGAGACCCTATCTTTCTTTTGTTCTTGTTTTTTGAGACTGGGTCTCACTCTGTAGCCCTAGGTGGTCTAGAACTCACTATGTGGACCAAGCTGATCTTGAACTCACAGAGATTCACCTGCCTCTGCTCCCCAAGTACTGGGATTACAAATATGCTTCACCACACCCAGAGGAGAGACCCTGTCTTTTATGTATAAGGTGGACGACAGCACCTGAGGACCGGCATTCATGGGGCTGTCCTCCGACCCCCTGCCCCAAATAGGAACATACACACACAAGAAAGGAAGAAGGAAAGGGAGGGAGGGAGGGAGGGAAAGAAGAAAAGGAAGGAAAAAAGAGAACAAAAATGCAAAGTGAATGGTTGCACTTGCTCACCACAAGTGTCCACAGCATCAGTTTTCATATTTTGACAGCCAACAAAACCGAAATGAGTCCAGATATGGCAGCACACATCTTTAATAACAGCATTCATAAAACAGAGTCAAGATGATCTCTGGTATTTCAAGGCCTCCCTGGCCTACATAGTGAGGTACAGACCAGCCAATGGCCACATAGTGAGACCTTGTCTCAAAATATAACACAAACGAACACATTTCCTCCCTTGACCGCCTAAGTAATCTCATACCTTTGGACATTTAAATTATTTACCAAGAACTTTAGTACTAAACTATTTTAACTATACTTGTGTATGCATTGTACGCATGTATGTGTGTACACACATATGCCAGAGTGACCGTGCAGAGTTCTGATCCTCTCCTTCCACCGTGTGCTATCTATCCTGGGATCAGGCTGCCAGTCTTGGTGGCAGCACCATTATCTGCTGAGCTATGTCACTGGCCCCCCTCTTGCCTTTTCTAGACTGACGTTGTGCCTAAGAATCGGCTTGAAGAAATTCAACCTGACAACTGTTTTCCTGAGTCTGTGTCACACACCAGGCTTGGTTGTAGACTCTAGAACTCAGCCATGAAAATACAGAAGCTCAGATTCCAGTTGAAGAGATGGACAGCAGCTAGTAAGGAATTGAAATGCACATCTGATGGTGGTAAGCGCTCTCAGAAACTGAAGCAGGACAAGAGAGGCCAGGGAATGGCTTCACACAGGGAGACCAGGACAAGCTTCGGTCAGGGAGTATGCATCTGCTATGTTCATTTTGAGACAAGAGCCCATATAGCCCATACTGGCCTCAAGCTTACTACATAGCAAAGGATGACCCCAATCTTTTGCTCCTCCTGCCTCTACCTCCCCAGTGCTTGGATTGCATGTGTGCACCACCAAACACAGTTTATGTGGTGGTGAGAAGCAAATCCGGGGCTTCATGCGTGCTAGGCAAGCATTCCATCCCCAGCCTGACTTTGCTATTTCTAGCAAGTTTTTTCTTCCTTCCTTTGTTTCTTTTTTTCTCCCTTGCTGTGCAGGGAATCAAGCCCAGGGCTTCAGTCAGGCTAACCATCTATTCTGTTACTGAGCCACACCCAGACTTCTCTGCCAATTCTAAAAGAGTTTGAAAGCCCTCAAAGGACCACACGAATCAGAAACATAGAGAGGAGAGGACATCAAGAAGGGTTATGAAATGAATATGGAGCCAAGAGACAGAAAGGTCTGTGTGAGCAGGGTCTGGGGGTTTGGAGTCTGGGGGGGGGGGAGGTCAGGGTATCGTGAGAGGGGTTTGTATCACCTGAGAAGGAAGTCCAGGCCGTCCCAGCCAGGGGGGTAGGTGAAGGGGACAGGCAAAGCGGAGACACCTCTGTCCACAGAGTTACATTTTTCTTATAGAATCACCATGGAGCTTTTTGTGTGAAGTTGGACTTTTAAAAACTTAGTCTTATTATGTGTGGTCACCGAACTGTTTGGTGCCCTCTTAAATTTTGTATGAGGTTCACCCTAGCCTTGGCCCTGGGAAGCAAGTTTGTGCAGACATGGCCAGAGTCCCTGGAGGAAGGGCTGGCTGAGTCTTTAGACTTGACTCTGTGGTCAGTACAAAGGCCACTGAAGGATCTTAAGCAAATAAATGATATAAGCGAAGCACCATTTGAGGATGACTGGAATGAAAGCTGTGGAGAGCTGGGGAAAGAGGGCAGAGAGCAAAGGGCTGTCAGGAAATACAGGCTGAGCCCCAGGCACTGGGCCAGAAGCGGTACAGAAGGATCTGGCTACCCCCTGCCTCCTCCAGGTCTCTGCCTGCCCTGTACCATGTAGAACTCAGCCTTCTCCCGCAGCAGCCAGACTCAGTAACTGCCAGCCTCTTGCCTCCTTCTGTTTTTACTATGACTAATTTGGTGAAAAACAGGAAGTGCTACTGTGACAGTGGCATTATCTGTGGCTAAGAAGTGAACTTCTGAAAATGGCAGACTCTGGGTCCCTTACACACAGCTCACTTGTACAAACACTCCCGTCGGGTGGACCCCGTCCCAGCAGGAACCATTATCTCCTTGGCTCTGACATCAGAAGGGACTCAAGAGCTGCTGTATTCCCAGGACTGGGGACAGGCTGCTTAGCCATCCTACAGGTCCCAGAGGATAGTGAGCATAGCATGTAGGGGTAAGTGGCTGGCAGGTACCACCAGGCACTGGGAAAGTAGGAAGGTTCACAAGGCGGGTACAGGAAGCCCTGCCCTGCCCTCTGCTTTGGGCCTACAGTTGCGCTGCACAAGTCTGGAGACAGAGAAGATCACAGAATAGTAGCCAACAGGCTGGGACTGGTGGTGGTGATGGTGGTGGTGGTGCTATGTGTGGTGTTCATATGGCAGAGAAGGGAAGCTCTCTGGTTATTACATCTTATAAAGGCACTAACACCATCAGAGAAGGGCCTGCCCTCATGATCTCATCTAGCCTTAAGAACTTCCCCCCAATTCCATTGCACTGAAGATTAGTGAAGATTTCAACATAGGGACTTGGGGAAGCAAATTTTCAGCCCAGAACACCATAGGCAAAAATCATTGCTTCTAGAAGGTCCCTATCTAGTTAGGTTGAGAAACACCTTTGAGAGAGAGAGAGAGAGAGAGAGAGAGAGAGAGAGAGAGAGAGAGAGAGAGAGAGAGTCTTGAATTCCTATCACCCATTGAGTCCTTCTAATGACCTTTAAATGGAGAGCATGCAGCTGTTACCAGAATTCAGTGCCTTTCCATCTTTTCCAGGGAGACTTCAGGACAAACTTGCTTGCACCTCTACATTCTCTTGACTTGAGCAATTGCTTCTCTTGCCGAGCATGTTCTGATGCTGAGTGCTGAGCTATTTCTCTCTCTCAGCACTTTTACCTCCATCCCATCCACAGAAGACTCCAACTGTAAATGTTTGGCATTCTTTGCATCTCTGGTCAGCCACACAGTTTTGTTTTCTGGGGTTCTGAATCTCATCTTTGGGTCTGTACAAAAATGGAAAGGGCATGCCTCGGACCTTGGCTATTTGCTCTTTGCAAACTGTCTCCTCCTGAGGGGTACAAGTTAGGAGTGTGCTTACAATTTAGATATCTAATAAAATGTTTTCAAATGATGGCGGCTTAACTGCTTCAAATGTACAACTCGGAGGCATTAGGTACATCCATAGTGTGTTACCACCACCACCACTATCCACTTCCAGACCCTTTCATCCTCTCCACCTGAAGCTCTGTGCCCTTTACATGGTAACTCTACATTTATCCACCTCTCGCTAACTACTGGTTTACTTTGTCCCAGAGACTTTGCCTGATCCGGGTACCTCATCGCAGGTAGCATTCTAACTCCTTTGCCTTGTTTCACTGGCTAATTTCACTTCGTACAATGCCTTTGTCTTTGTTTATTCGGGTTGCTATAACAAAATGCCACAAGCTGCATGGCTTGCAAACAGCAGAAATTTATTTCTCACGGTTCTAGAGATTGGGAAGGCTAAGATCAAGGTGCCAGCTGATTCGACATCCAGTGACAGTCTGTTTTGAGGGGGTACAATAATACAGATGGTATCTTCCCACTGTCTTAACATAACAAAGGGCAAGGGACACCTGTGCCAACCCCTCCAGGAGGAGAAGAAGCTAACCAGATGGAAGAAAAGAGTTGGAAAAGTGACCCAGGAAGAAAAACGTCAAGCCTGGCACCAAAAGGGCCTGTAATGCGCTTTAGTGTAAGATTTGTGCTAGGGTTGGGTATGAAGCTCAAGAGAGAGAGGGAAGGTGAAGCTGCAGGGGCAGGCTAGGACCAGCTGCTGAAGAACCTTGCAAGGTTGGGATTAAGGCCTCATAGCCTTGAACCGAGGGAGAGAAGAATCTGTTCTTCCTTTGTAGGAGGCATCAAAAAAAAAAAAAAACCAAAAATCGCAGGCCCTGCTATTCAAGCATTTTCCGAGTGCCAGAGATCAACTGACCTAGCATTGTGCTTCTGTTATCTCCGTTAAGTCTCAGATGACTGATAAGGACACTGAATGCTAGAGAGCAACTTACCCAAGCTTCACACACACCCCTGTCTAACCCAGCACAGCCCCAGAGCCAGCAGCCGTGATCTGTAGGAGCCTGACTCCCAGATAGGGACCTGCATCCTCACCTGGACCCCAAATGACCCAGTGCTGTCTGACATTTGGACAGCACAGATGGCATTGTCAAAGTCTGGCTTCACATGGGAATCACCAGGGTAGCTGTAAAACTCCTCAGTGCACACAGCGTGTGCCACAAGGTCCACGGCATTAGGATTTCTGGGGCTTCTCCCCTGCTCCATCAGGATTTTTCATTCTTGTGGGTGATGGTGGCCATGTCCCTGCTTTATGCTTCCCTGCTGCCTAGGGAAGGCAAGAAACTCCTGCAAGAGGAACTGCCCTTGGAGGGTTCTTCTAGCCACGAGCAACTCTGTGGCTTTAAGAACCATGGCTGGCACTCTGCCATGGAAGCCACCACCCCAGTACAGGCCTTGCAAGCATTGGCTGCAGGAGGGAAGCTACAGCAGGCTGGCCCAGGCAAGTAGACGGAGCCTGAGCTGGGCAGAACAAGCCGGTGTGGCAGTGGCAGCAGCACCAGGCAGCCCCTGACCTCCTGTGAGTAGACGAAAAGGGATCCTTATGCCTTCCAGAAGGAAGCTCGTTCGTCAAGGCTGAGGAAACAAAGGGAAGAATTGTGTGTCACTCTAGTCCAGACGTCTCAAACCAACAGTAAGTCAGAAGGGAACACAACACAGTTCTCTGCCCCAGGCAACATCCACACACCCTCCCCACCCTCCCCAGGAGTCCAAGGGTTTAAGGACACAGCTCCAGGGGGCTGCAGGCCAAAACCAATTAACAGTCTCTGCTGGAGCCCATCTGGGCCTCCCCTTGGAAAGTCAAGTCTCAGCTCATGACACCTGGAGCGTGCTTCTCTTCCCTCCTGATGGCCTTTCAAGGCATCTTCCCATCCCCAAGAGCACGCGAGAGCAAAAGAAGGGGAAATCTCTGGCTTTGGGCATCTGCCAACTTTGGGTCAGAGCCTGCTAGGGAGGAGGGAAAGAATCTCAGGGGTGGCACGAGGGAGGATGGTCCAGGCCAACACAGACCTAGGATTGTTGGCCAGATAAGCTGGGGGCTTAGAGGTCCCTCCCTCTCTGCCTTCGAGGGATGAGAGCTGCAGGTGAGACAGACCCACACTGAAGTCAGCTCGCTTCTGCCCCCATCGTGGGAGCCAAGGCTGACTTGACACAGGTGACTGTGGCAGCAGGCTTCGGACCCCTGTGTAGCTCAGTGTGGGAGGCAGAGCCCTGTGACCTTGGAGAGTCACAGGGATGTCCATGCCTGTCTGCTGTCCTCTTTCTTATTGTGTGACTAACCTAGAGGTGGCGGTCATCTACCTGACTTCATGAGCATGTGTGGAAAAACCACCCACGTGCTAGGGAGGGCAGGAAAACGGAGATTTACAGTGCTACCACTGATGGACATGGAGGGGAGCGTGTACCTTCATCAAGGATGGGTGATTGAAGCCAGGAGCGAGGGGCAGGAGAGAAGTCTTGGCTAGAAGGGCAGAGGGAAACTGAGGCAGGGTGGACTGAACTGAAAGCTAAAGTGGGCTTGCACGTATTTATGGTGAACAACGTTCGAATTAGCTTTCCATTGTTATGACAAAATACTTGAGACGCTACTTAAGGAAGGAAAGCGAATGTGGGCTTTCAAAGGTCTCATTCGGTCCACAGTCCTTTGACCTGGCTGAAGCACGTGGTTCAGGGAAGCAGCTCAACTCATAGCAGCCAGGAGCAGAGAGAGAAAGAGAAGGGGTAAAGACAAAATTGCCCCTCCTGAGCACCCCCCAACTACCAACTTCCTCCAAAGCCGCCCACTTTCTGTGGCCCCCCCCACACAAGCCCACTGATGAGGTCAGAGGCCACAGGATGCCTTCCTCTCCCGAAGGCCCCAACCCCGAGCACCGCTGCACTGGGATGCAAACCTTCAATGGTGAAACCACATCACCACAACCTAAAAGAGTCAGCTGTGCCTTCTGGCTTGGTCACTGAATTCCAGGAGGTCAGCCGGTGGCTCTTGACCTGGCACGATGTATGCATGTGAGTAAACAAGGAAATTTGGAGAATTTCACAGGCATGTCTGAAAGATCTGCCAACACAGGGCTCTTGTGGTCATTCGAATGGGGGACCTTTACATTCCTTGCGTCACACCTGTTTCTGTACCTGCCAAGTTCCCATGGATATGACAGGTTTCTGCTGTCCTTGGACTTTCTAATAAGGATTCTTTTCTACTGAGAACCTCTGTGTACATATGTATGCACGTGCGTGTGTATGTCTGTGTGTATGCACACATGCATGCACCCGCCAGGTACATGGGTCTGAACCCTTCCAGTTAATTTCAATTAAATCTCCCATCTTCCGTTAAAGATGACAGATGTACAAAGCCAAATGTACCCCTCTCCTTGACAGATTTCACAGCCTTTCTAGGATATCTGCCAAATTGCTAGATGGTATTTGCATTTTAAAAACATTGACTACATTTTGATATTTGGGTTTTAAGGATTTTCCAGCCTGCCTTCAGACAGTTTATCTCTTGTGCCTCGTTTTATAACTTTCAAAGCTTTTCTTCAACATTTGTAAATCCATTTTATCTTTCCATGAGGCCAGTAGCTGGGTTCTTCTCACATGCTCTCTTGGAGGAAACTGACTGACTTATAGAGACATTAAATGACTTGCAGCAGTTAGCATCCAGGCACAGGTCTCTGGAAAACTGAGACTTTTTAAAAAATGTTTTTAAACTTAATTCATTGTATGTGTCATGTGTTTTGCAGCTGGTTCTCTGTATGTCCTGGGGTTGAATCAAGTAGTAGGGCTTGGTTGGCAAGTGCCTTTACCTGCAGAACACTCTTGCTGCCTCTGAACTGCATCTTTCTGACTACATGGTTCTGTACAAAGAGATGCTCTGAAACACAGTGGATGAGGATACCATCTTATTCCAGGATACACAGGTTAGGCTTCAGGTCTGGTCACCCAACAGTAGTGAATCATCAGCTAAAGTATGGCATCTCCCTGTGTACGTCTCCTTTTCTGTAAAATGAGACAAAGCCCCTGCTTAGGAGGTAGGTGTGGATTAAATGAGATAGCATGTGTAAAATGTTTA